CTGCGGGAGCTGCATTGGGTGCCAGTTTGCTTCTGGGTCCAATTCAAGGTGTTGGTTATCAGCTTTAAAGCCCTACATGTCATGGGTCCAGGTTATCTGAGGGACTGCTTCACCCCCATCACATCAACCCCCACTCTCATGGCCTTCAGGAAGAGCGTGAAATCCTGGCTATGCCAGATGGCCTGGGGGAGCATGGGGGCTCGCACCAGTGGAAGTGGCTTGTGGGGTAATTGATTTTACTCCCCCATCATTTTGAATGTTTTTTAGTTTTTATGTATAGGGCTTGTTTTTGTAGTTTGACTTTTAATTAATTAATTAATTATAATTAATAAATGGGGGTATTTTTTTTTAACTGTTTGTGGCTTTCATCTTCATTGTGAGCCACCCAGAGTCACCCACTGGGGGAGATGGGTGGCATACAAATTTAATAAATAAATAAATAAACCCGTCCCATCGGGTCAGGCAGAGAGGGTACGTTGTGGACCCCATCGGTGAGAGACTGTCGACTGGGGAGCCCAGGAGGAGAGCCTTCTCTGCCGTTGCCCCCGCCCTTTGGAACGTTCTCCCCCCAGAGGTGAGGTGGGCCCCCACCCTCCCGGCTTTCCGAAAAGAACTGAAGACCTGGCTCTGCCAACTTGCTTGGGGCAAGAAGAGATATAATCAACCCTGGGGGTGGCTGGTGCCTTGAAGATACTCCCCAAGCCTAATAATTTTTAGTTCACGATCAATATTTTGGAAGATATTTATTATTTGTAGGAATATCGTTATATTGTATTTTAATTAATATTTATATTTTTGCTGTAAATTGCCCAGAATCACTTCTAGTGAGATGGGCAGGGACAAATGTGAAATATAAATAAATAAAAAATAAATAAAATATGTGAAAAAGGCATGGCTTGCAATCAGCTTCTTTCAGATGAGTCAAGATCATACATAGTATGGATAAAGAGGATCTCCGTAGAGTCAAGCTCAGTTCTTGGTGATTTCATGAACACATCCACGTAGGATTTTTTGAGGGAGGGGAGAACAATACAGAAGAGATTTCCTATTGTCTTATTCCTAGTTTAGCTCCGTCAATGCTTTCCCACCCGAGTACTAACCCGGTTAGGCTCCTGTTTAGCTTTTCAAATCAGCAAACGTGGGCTAGGTGAAAGTATGCCAGAATTCAGCAGGTGCTTTTGCTGATTTTCTGTCGCTCCTGCAGAAGGCAGGCATCACATGCTGCAAAGGCAAAAAATAATTGACCGTCAAAGGCAGGCAGGCAGGCAGGCAGGCTGTGAATGTGCAAAGGGAACCCTGTTTGCGGTGGGCAGGGTGGAAGGGACACCTTTTATGAAAAGAGCTGTTGTTTCTTTATGCCAGGGCCAGAGTGAAGGTGATCGCTTGTTTGTTGTCATTGTATGCTCTCAAATGATCGCCGAGAGCGAATCTTCTTCCTTCCCTCCTTCTGTCTCCAAACGTAGCTCACGGGTGCACTAATCCGCTGGCTCTCCTTTAGCCTGCACTGCAGCAACAGGTTTGCGAGAAACGCCCTCGAGCAGCCGTGGCTTCGCCACTCCTCCCCCACTCCGGAGGGTATGTCTTTAAGAGG